AGACAGTAGACCATCAGAGAGACAGGTAGACCATCAGAGAGACAGGTAGACCATCAGAGAGACATGTAGACCATCAGAGAGACAGGTAGACCATCAGAGAGACATGTAGACCATCAGAGAGACATGTAACCATCAGAGAGACAGGTAGACCATCAGAGAGACATGTAACCATCAGAGAGACAGGTAGACCATCAGAGAGACAGGTAAACCATCAGAAGAGAGACAGGTAGACCATCAGAGAGACAGGTAGACCATCAGAGAGACATGTAGACCATCAGAGAGACATGTAGACCATCAGAGAGACAGGTAGACCATCAGAGAGACAGGTAGACCATCAGAGAGACATGTAGACCATCAGAGAGACAGGTAGACCATCAGAGAGACAGGTAGACCATCAGAGAGACAGGTAGACCATCAGAAGAGAGACAGGTAGACCATCAGAGAGACAGGTAGACCATCAGAGAGACAGGTAGACCATCAGAGAGACAGGTAGACCATCAGAGAGACAGGTAGACCATCAGAGAGACAGGTAGACCATCAGAGAGACAGGTACACCATCAGAGAGACAGGTAGACCATGAAAGAGACAGGTAAACCATCAGAGAGACAGGTAGACCTTGAAAGAGACAGGTAAACCATCAGAGAGACAGGTAGACCATCAGAGAGACAGGTAGACCATCAGAGAGACAGGTAGACCATCAGAGAGACAGGTAGACCTTGAGAGACAGGTAGACCATCAGAGAGACAGGTAGACCATCAGAGAGACAGGTAGACCATCAGAGAGACAGGTAGACCATCAGAGAGACAGTGTGTCCTGACCTCGAAGCAGAAGTCCTGGCCCAGGATGCTGCTGTGCAGAGGCTTGATGAACACGTCGTCCTCCATGTTCAGATCCAGAGACTCCACTGCACTGCAGGGAGTCAGCAGGGGGTCCTGGGAGACTTCCTGTAACCGGGGGAGACCACGGGACCTGGGGGGGGGGGGGAGGAGGAGGAGGAGTTTGTTTACATGAGGAGGCAAGTGTATCTATACAGAAACACAAGGCAATTCAAAGTGCTTCACAAAAAGAATTCAATTATATTGTGCATTGTACGTGATTAAGGGGGCGGGACATCTCTAAGCAGGTTGACCAATCACAACGGAGCAGGCCAGCTAACCTATCAGAGCAGACTGGGCTCTGGTTTCTCTGGAGGACTCTTTAAAGTAGAGACACTACATACTGATATACACCTGAACATCAGCAGGAGAGGACTCTTTAAAGTAGAGACACTACATACTGATATACACCTGAACATCAGCAGGAGAGAACTCTTTAAAGTAGAGACTCTACATACTGATAAACACCTGAACATCAGCAGGAGAGGACTCTTTAAAGTAGAGACACTACATACTGATATACACCTGAACATCAGCAGGAGAGGACTCTTTAAAGTAGAGACACTACATACTGATATACACCTGAACATCAGCAGGAGAGGACTCTTTAAAGTAGAGACACTACATACTGATATACACCTGAACATCAGCAGGAGAGGACTCTTTAAAGTAGAGACACTACACACTGATATACACCTGAACATCAGCAGGAGAGGACTCTTTAAAGTAGAGACACTACATACTGATATACACCTGAACATCAGGAGGAGAGGACTCTTTAAAGTAGAGACACTACATACTGATATACACCTGAACATCATCAGGAGAGGACTCTTTAAAGAAGAGACACTACATACTGATATACACCTGAACATCAGCAGGAGAGGACTCTTTAAAGTAGAGATACTACATACTGATATACACCTGAACATCAGCAGGAGAGGACTCTTTAAAGTAGAGACACTACATACTGATATACACCTGAACATCAGCAGGAGAGGACTCTTTAAAGTAGAGACACTACATACTGATATACACCTGAACATCAGCAGGAGAGGACTCTTTAAAGTAGAGACACTACATACTGATATACACCTGAACATCAGCAGGAGAGGACTCTTTAAAGTAGAGACACTACATACTGATATACACCTGAACATCAGCAGGAGAGGACTCTTTAAAGTAGAGACACTACATACTGATATACACCTGAACATCAGCAGGAGAGGACTCTTTAAAGTAGAGACACTACATACTGATATACACCTGAACATCAGCAGGAGAGGACTCTTTAAAGTAGAGACACTACATACTGATATACACCTGAACATCAGCAGGAGAGGACTCTTTAAAGTAGAGACACTACATACTGATATACACCTGATCATCAGCAGGAGAGGACTCTTTTAAAGTAGAGACACTACATACTGATATACACCCTGAACATCAGCAGGAGAGGACTCTTTAAAGTAGAGGACACTACATACTGATATACACCTGAACATCAGCAGGAGAGGACTCTTTAAAGTAGAGACACTACATACCTGATATACACCTGAACATCAGCAGGAGAGGACTCTTTAAAGTAGAGACACTACATACTGATATACACCTGAACATCAGCAGGAGAGGACTCTTTAAAGTAGAGACACTACATACTGATATACACCTGAACATCAGCAGGAGAGGACTCTTTAAAGTAGAGACACTACATACTGATATACACCTGAACATCAGCAGGAGAGGACTCTTTAAAGTAGAGACACTACATACTGATATACACCTGAACATCAGCAGGAGAGGACTCTTTAAAGTAGAGACACTACATACTGATATACACCTGAACATCAACAGGAGAGGACTCTTTAAAGTAGAGACACTACATACTGATATACACCTGAACATCAGCAGGAGAGGACTCTTTAAAGTAGAGACACTACATACTGATATACACCTGAACATCAGCAGGAGAGGACTCTTTAAAGTAGAGACACTACATACTGATATACACCTGATCATCAGCAGGAGAGGACTCTTTAAAGTAGAGACACTACATACTGATATACACCTGAACATCAGCAGGAGAGGACTCTTTAAAGTAGAGACACTACATACTGATATACACCTGAACATCAGCAGGAGAGGACTCTTTAAAGTAGAGACACTACATACTGATATACACCTGAACATCAGCAGGAGAGGACTCTTTAAAGTAGAGACACTACATACTGATATACACCTGAACATCAGCAGGAGAGGACTCTTTAAAGTAGAGACACTACATACTGATATACACCTGAACATCAGCAGGAGAGGACTCTTTAAAGTAGAGACACTACATACTGATATACACCTGAACATCAGCAGGAGAGGACTCTTTAAAGTAGAGGACACTACATACTGATATACACCTGAACATCAGCAGGAGAGGACTCTTTAAAGTAGAGACACTACATACTGATATACACCTGAACATCAGCAGGAGATGACTCTTTAAAGTAGAGACACTACATACTGATATACACCTGAACATCAGCAGGAGAGGACTCTTTAAAGTAGAGACACTACATACTGATATACACCTGAACATCAGCAGGAGAGGACTCTTTAAAGTAGAGACACTACAGACTGATATACACCTGAACATCAGCAGGAGAGGACTCTTTAAAGTAGAGACACTACATACTGATATACACCTGAACATCAGCAGGAGAGGACTCTTTAAAGTAGAGACACTACATACTGATATACACCTGAACATCAGCAGGAGAGGACTCTTTAAAGTAGAGACACTACATACTGATATACACCTGAACATCAGCAGGAGAGGACTCTTTAAAGTAGAGACACTACATACTGATATACACCTGAACATCAGCAGGAGAGGACTCTTTAAAGTAGAGACACTACATACTGATATACACCTGAACATCAGCAGGAGAGGACTCTTTAAAGTAGAGACTCTACATACTGATATACACCTGAACATCAGCAGGAGAGGACTCTTTAAAGTAGAGACACTAGATACTGATATACACCTGAACATCAGCAGGAGAGGACTCTTTAAAGTAGAGACACTAGATACTGATATACACCTGAACATCAGCAGGAGAGGACTCTTTAAAGTAGAGACACTACATACTGATATACACCTGAACATCAGCAGGAGAGGACTCTTTAAAGTAGAGACACGACATACTGATATACACCTGAACATCAGCAGGAGAGGACTCTTTAAAGTAGAGACACTACATACTGATATACACCTGAACATCAGCAGGAGAGGACTCTTTAAAGTAGAGACACTACATACTGATATACACCCTGAACATCAGCAGGAGAGGACTCTTTAAAGTAGAGACACTACATACTGATATACACCTGAACATCAGCAGGAGAGGACTCTTTAAAGTAGAGACACTACATACTGATATACACCTGAACATCAGCAGGAGAGGACTCTTTAAAGTAGAGACACTACATACTGATATACACCTGAACATCAGCAGGAGAGGACTCTTTAAAGTAGAGACACTACATACTGATATACACCTGAACATTAAAGCATGGAGACATGTCCAACATCCCCTAAGATTCGGGCGGCTAAAAAACAAAAACGCCGTCCTGGGAACCAATCACAGCGAGGCCCTTCGGGGGCGTTTCCATAACAACTGCCTCCTCATGGAGACAACGGGCGCTAGGCAACGAGGGGGCGGGTTCAACGAGAGGAGGTCAGATGAAGAAGTGAGGGATTTCCAAATAAAGTAAAATTGTGATTTGTTTGTTATTTCAATTTATTAAAAGTAATATTAGTTCATAAAAACTTCAGTCATATCTTAATCTTTTAAAGGAGTTTTATTTTATGTTAATCTGAAATGTTCCCTTTTGATTGTTAGAAACACTGAATGACTTTTCAGGAGATCTCTCTTAAGTGTGTGTGTGTGTGTGTGTGTGTGTGTGTGTGTGTAATCCCCTGCTGTGTGTGAGTTATGTAATCCTGGATTATGATGCGTCACCAACATCAGACTCCCTGACGACATTAAAACCGTACACACACACACGAAGGGCTGGTCTCTGCATTATGATAGAAACCTGATACACTGCTGTTAGAGGAAGCACTTACTAAGCTTACACACACACATTCACAGAGACACACACACACACACACACACACACACACACACACACACACACACACACACACACACACACACACACACACACACACACACACACACACACACACACACACACACACACACCACACACACACACACACACACACACACACACACACACACACACACACACACACACACACACACACACACACACACACACACACACACACACACACAGTTAAAATACTGCTTCAAAATGTTATTATGAGTATTAAAATATACTTTAGGGACCAAAAGTACTCATTACATATATATTCCATTGTGTTGATGAGTTCATCTGATGGTGCACTTGGTGAAGGCTGGGTTTATTGTGATTACTATACAGTATACTGAACCAATCATAAGAATATATAAACATATATTAGTTTACTTACATTTTGTTTTAATACCCTACATCTGCAAAGGAGCCAAGTATCTCATGCTGTAAAATAATGTTTTGTGAAGTACAAGTACCTCACATTTTAAAGTTCTTAAGCACAGTACTTCAGTAAATGTACATGTCTCCACTTCATGCAACAAACACACAACCACTAGAGAAAAAACAACACAAAACGAATAAAACTCATATTAAAAACAGTAACAACTGTCGGAAGTGAGGTATGCTAACAAGCATGCTAACGTGCTAACAACACAGGGAATTGCAACCCAGTCTCACGGCATTTCGTGTTATAGTCACAAAATGAATCTATTGATTCGTGAACACGATTTCGCCATTTTTTTCGTGTCACACAGAACGATTTTAAAAGCAATGTAAATAATAACAAATTAGAAGGAAAAACAGATTTTTAAAAATATAGATTTCAGTATTCTGACACAGAACGATTTTAGAAGCAATGTATTTATAATGGTAGTATGTTTCGTGCCTGCACCAAATAATAACAAATTAGAAGGAAAAAAAGATGACATAAAATACAGATGTCAGTATTCTGAGGCTCTGAGCCATTTCTTTTCCTCACTGACGGCAAAAAAACTCAGACATTATACAATTTAAAATAAAAGGGATAGGGTTAGGCTTAGGGTAAGATATTGAGTAAGAACATGTTTTTATGAACCACACAGCTTCTGGTCTTCCAAGACCCGACCGGACAAAAAGACGTGTTGCAGGCACGAAACATACTACCAATAGAAATACATTGCATTTAAAATCGTTCTGTGTGACACGAAAAAAATGTGAAAATCGTGTTGGTGAACAAGAATCAATAGATTAAATTAATGTTGTGACTAATAACACGAAATGCCGTGAGACTGGGTTGGGAATTGATGAGGAGATCTGTGTACCGATATTCCACTACTACACTTCCATCTATAAATTAACCTTCAGCTACACCATGAACAGGATGCTACTCTTTATCATTTTAATAGTTTTGATGTTTTCCCACGAGCAGCTACGTGTTGTTGTTCTGTCACGTTAGCTCCAATGCTACCATCCTGCGACAAACTATACTTTACTATAGAAGGTGAACAAGGCTCACACACACACACACACACACCTACCTGAACCTCAGAGTTCTCCGCAGCAGAGAAGAAGAACCGTCCATCAGGAGTCAGAGCTCAGACTGACTCCTGATGAGAGGCTGAGAGAGAGAGTGTGTGTGTGTGTGTGTGTGTGTGTGTGTGTGTGTGTGTGTGTGTGTGTGTGTGTGTGTGTGTGTGTGTGTGTGTGTGTGTGTGTGTGTGTGTGTGTGTGTGTGTGTGTGTGTGTGTGTGTGTGTGTGTGTGTAAAGCATTATCCTGCTGTCCAGCTGGCAGACAGTCTGTCGATGTTACAGCTGCATCCCTACGCAGAGGCAGCGGTGCATCACAACACTGTTTTTTTATGTGATAATATATATTTAAGTTAAACAATATAATAAACATATTATTAACAATATATTTGTTTACATTAATTCCCCCTTTCCTCAGTATCTCTGTGCTTTGTGTGCAATATTTAGGTTTTGGTGACTTGATTAAAACACAGACTTTTTGTTTTAAATTCACAATGAAAGACAATGAACACTAAATGTAATCCCAACAATGTGGGGTCTCAGGATTATTAGTGTTTCCATTCAGATTTAATGGACATTTTAATTTTTTCTGTGTATTTTGTTATTATGTATTTCTTTTAATTTTGTATTTGCCCTGTTTTTCAATAATTTCCCTGCTACTTTTTGCATTTACAAATTATGAAGTTATATCAGTCCAGCTGATCGGACCGGGTCTTCTCAGTTTTCTACAGAACAGCTGATCCAACTGACCTCACACAGGGCACCAGATCACAGCAACACACACACAAAACAGGAAGTAGATAACACACACACACACACAAACACACACACTCACACACACTCAAACAAAGTCTCACACACTCAAACAAAGTCTCACACACTCAAACAAAGTCTCACACACTCAAACAAAGTCTCACACACTCAAACAAAGTCTCACACACACAGTCTCTCTTACACACAGTCACACACACACACACACACACACACCTGTCTGGTTCTGGTTGCCGTAGCGATGGCAGTCTGAAGCTGGTGTTCCGGTCCAGTTTGGTCTGACTCTTCGTCCTCTTGATGGAGCCTTTCAGTCGTTTACTGAAGAAACCCTGAGGATTAAAAACCAAAAACAAAGACAGAAAGATCAGAAATAATAATTAGAATGTGGACGATTCATCTCAGGAGGATTAACACTCGTCTCCCGTCGTGTGTCCTGCACCTGGTTTGCAGATTTCACAAAACAAATCGACTGGCACACACTAAGAAAAACGACGTTCAGGATTATAAAGCTGAACAACTGTCTCTGTTGTTGGAAACTCACCTGAAATGTGTTATGGTCTTATTTTAACAATGTGGTCACATGACTCCTTCTGATGTTACTGCAGATCTGCTGTGAGCTAGCTAGCTAACGTAGCTAACGTAGTCATTTCAGATATACTGACAAATGACTAACTCTGCATCCAGATACAATGCATATATAAAAACACATCAAAAACCTCTCTCTGTGTGTGTGTGTGTGTGTGTGTGTGTGTGTGTGTGTCTCTGTCTGTCTGTCTGTCTGTCTGTGTGTGTCTGTCTGTCTGTCTGTCTGTGTGTGTGTGTGTGTGTGTGTGTCTGTGTGTGTGTGTGCGTGTGTGTGTGTGTCTCTCTGTCTGTGTGTGTGTGTGTGTCTCTGTCTGTTTGGGTGTCTGTCTATATATGTGTGTGTGTGTGTGTGTGTGTGTGTGTGTGTGTGTGTGTGTGTGACTGTCTGTGTGTGTGTGTGTGTGTGTGTCTCTGTCTGTCTGTCTGTCTGTGTGTGTGTGTGTGTGTGTGTGTGTATGTATGTGTGTGCGTGTGTGCATGTGTGTGTGTGTCTCTGTGTGTGTGTCTCTATCTGTGTGTGTGTGTGTGTGTGTGTGTGTGTGTGTGTGTGTGTCTCTGTGTGTGTGTCTGTTTGTCTGTCTGTCTGTCTGTCTGTGTGTGTCTGTGTGTGTGTCTCTGTGTGTGTGTCTCTATCTATATGTGTGTGTGTGTGTGTGTGTGTGTGTGTCTCTGTGTGTGTGTGTGTGTCTGTGTCTGTGTGTGTGTCTGTGTGTGTGTGTGTGTGTGTGTGTGTGTGTGTGTGTGTGTGTGTGTGTGTGTGTGTGTGTGTGAGCATCATGACTCAGCTGTTCTCCACCCATCAGGTCCTGTGTGACAATAAAAAGCTTCGGTGCAGAAGGAAGTGAGCGGCCTCATTTCCGTAGATATTAATAACCCTCAAACACAATAATTCCCATCAGGCTCATTGGCTGCCGTTGACGCCTCAGAATAAAGTCACTGTACCTCTGCACATCTCCCAGCATGCACTCTGCCAGCACAGAGGGCGCTCTATAAATACGCGCAGGTTCCTGACACTGATGGAGGTTTGTTCCTCACACTCATCAGGAAACACAGAAAACTGATTCTAACATCTCTCTCAGATCTGCTGGAAACCGTTGTAGTCGTTCACTAAATGCAGATGTTTAGAGAAAAACAGTGCTCTCTTCATGTTGTTGTTGTTGTTGTTTAGTCTGTCTTTCACCCCTCCATCAGACAGTTTAAACTCATAAACGGGACTTCAGGTTTTTAGATTCCAATTTGGACCGGGTCTTTTTCTACAGAACACCTTCCTTTCAACCAGGAAGACCTTCTTTCCTCATTCATTAATTTACTATGTCCATGTCACTACTCTCTCTCCTCTCAATAAGTGACCGGGGGCGTCACTCCCCAGCTTAACCAATCACTTCGCTCTATTCTCACAAGCCTATCATAGGGCTCCGCAATACCTTTTAAATCTGCTCTCCCCTCTGACAGCTGTTATTTCAGGTGACTCGACGCAACCGTCCTCCCCCCTTTTCACCTCCTGTCCCTCTGAATCCAGGGCCAAGCTAAGCCCCTCCCCTTCAGACCGAACCCAATCATCCATTCACCACCACCAGGGTCAAGCTAAGCCACTCCCCTGCAGACCGACTCCAACTATCCATTCACCACCACCAGGGTCAAGCTAAGCCACTCCCCTTCAGACCGAACCCAACTATCCATTCACCACCACCAGGGTCAAGCTAAGCCACTCCCCTTCAGACCGAACCCAACTATCCATTCACCACCACCAGGGTCAAGCTAAGCCCCTCCCCTTCAGACCTAACCCAACTATCCATTCACCACCACCAGGGTCAAGCTAAGCCACTCCCCTTCAGACCGACTCCAACTATCCATTCACCACCACCAGGGTCAAGCTAAGCCACTCCCCTTCAGACCGAACCCAACTATCCATTCACCACCACCAGGGTCAAGCTAAGCCACTCCCCTTCAGACCGAACCCAACTATCCATTCACCACCACCAGGGTCAAGCTAAGCCACTCCCCTTCAGACCGAACCCAACTATCCATTCACCACCACCAGGGTCAAGCTAAGCCACTCCCCTTCAGACCTAACCCAACTATCCATTCACCACCACCAGGGTCAAGCTAAGCCACTCCCCTTCGGAACGACTCCAACTATCCATTCACCACCACCAGGGTCAAGCTAAGCCCCTCCCCTTCAGACCTAACCCAACTATCCATTCACCACCACCAGGGTCAAGCTAAGCCCCTCCCCTTCAGACCGAACCCAACTATCCATTCACCACCACCAGGGTCAAGCTAAGCCCCTCCCCTTCAGACCGACCCCAACTATCCATTCACCACCACCAGGGTCAAGCTAAGCCCCTCCCCTTCAGACCGAACCCAACTATCCATTCACCACCACCAGGGTCAAGCTAAGCCACTCCCCTTCAGATCGCCAAAACTCCATTACATTCATTTGTTTATTCCTGGCAATAAATATGTATTCTTACATCAAAACCGTCTCTCCTGATTGAACTGAATTTATTATAAAAGTACAAAACAGATGTGTGTGTGTGTGTGTGTGTGTGTGTGTGTGTGTGTGTGTGTGTGTGTGTGTGTGTGTGTGTGTGTGTGTGTGAGACTGTGTGCATGCGTGTGTGTGTGTGCATGTGTGTGTGTGACACTGTGTGCATGTGTGTGCGTGTACGATGTCTGAGGGTGGACAGATTCAGATTGGTTTTGAAAATGTATATTAGTTAGATTTTGTAATAAAAATCAACGACATCACAAAAAAAAGAGAATCCCAAAATCGAGATAACCATTTTTTTGTTTGTATTCCTAAAAACTGGAAAAATACAAAAAAAGGACAAGAATATTACAAAATTGGGATTTAACAAAAAGTAAAAATCCAGAATTGGGATAAAAATAACAATAATAATAAATCCCAAATTGAAATCAATAAAGTAAATCTTATCCTTATAAAGTGCACACAGTGTAACACGTAACAATCTGAATAGATATGAAACTAACAATCTGAATAGATATTGAAGTAACAATCTAAATAGATATTGAAGTAACAATCTAAATAGATATTGAACTAACAATCTGAATAGATATTGAAGTAACAATCTAAATAGATATTGAAGTAACAATCTGAATAGATATTGAAGTAACAATCTAAATAGATATTGAACTAACAATCTAAATAGATATTGAACTAACAATCTAAATAGATATTGAACTAACAATCTAAATAGATATGAAACTAACAATCTGAATAGATATTAAACTAACAATCTGAATAGATATTGAAGTAACAATCTAAATAGATATTGAAGTAACAATCTAAATAGATATTGAACTAACAATCTGAATAGATATTGAAGTAACAATCTAAATAGATATTGAAGTAACAATCTAAATAGATATTGAACTAACAATCTGAATAGATATTGAAGTAACAATCTAAATAGATATTGAACTAACAATCTAAATAGATATTGAACTAACAATCTAAATAGATATTGAACTAACAATCTAAATAGATATGAAACTAACAATCTAAATAGATATTAAACTAACAATCTGAATAGATATTGAACTAACAATCTAAATAGATATTGAACTAACAATCTAAATAGATATTAAACTAACAATCTGAATAGATATTGAAGTAACAATCTAAATAGATATTGAAGTAACAATCTAAATAGATATTGAACTAACAATCTGAATAGATATTGAAGTAACAATCTAAATAGATATTGAACTAACAATCTAAATAGATATTGAACTAACAATCTAAATAGATATTGAACTAACAATCTAAATAGATATGAAACTAACAATCTAAATAGATATTAAACTAACAATCTGAATAGATATTGAACTAACAATCTAAATAGATATTGAACTAACAATCTAAATAGATATTGAACTAACAATCTAAATAGATATTGAACTAACAATCTAAATAGATATGAAACTAACAATCTAAATAGATATTAAACTAACAATCTGAATAGATATTGAAGTAACAATCTAAATAGATATTGAAGTAACAATCTAAATAGATATTGAACTAACAATCTAAATAGATATTGAACTAACAATCTGAATAGATATTGAAGTAACAATCTAAATAGATATTGAACTAACAATCTAAATAGATATTGAACTAACAATCTAAATAGATATTGAACTAACAATCTGAATAGATATTAAACTAACAATCTAAATAGATATTAAACTAACAATCTGAATAGATATTAAACTAACAATCTAAATAGATATTGAACTAACAATCTAAATAGATATTGAACTAACAATCTAAATAGATATTAAACTAACAATCTAAATAGATATTGAACTAACAATCTAAATAGATATGAAACTAACAATCTAAATAGATATTGAACTAACAATCTAAATAGATATGAAACTAACAATCTAAATAGATATTAAACTAACAATCTGAATAGATATTAAACTAACTATCTAAATAGATATTGAACTAACAATCTAAATAGATATGAAACTAACAATCTAAATAGATATGAAACTAACAATCTAAATAGATATTAAACTAACAATCTAAATAGATATTGAACTAACAATCTGAATAGATATTGAAGTAACAATCTAAATAGATATTGAAGTAACAATCTGAATAGATATTGAAGTAACAATCTAAATAGATATTGAACTAACAATCTAAATAGATATTGAACTAACAATCTAAATAGATATTGAACTAACAATCTAAATAGATATGAAACTA